TACTCACGTGGAACCCAGCAGAATTTCTCGTTTATGTTTTCAGGCATTGCGCATATAAGATAAGGTCAATTTCGTCCCTATCTGCTGCAGGGAAACGCGAGAGAGTTTAACATCAGCGGCCAACGAAGACTACATTTTGAACTACGGGAAAATTACGGTTAGTTCTCTTCCACCGTTTCTGGTAGAGCGGATGCCCAGTGTAATCAATGTTATGGGTGCAAGCCTAAACTCACTGGCAAACTGGATATCTTCCTCCGCTCAGTAAGGTTCAGCCGCTGGTTTAAACATAATATTGGTTTCCCCGTTCATTTCCTTCAACCCTCACTTTATTCCACACTTTCTTCGTTATAATACTGCATCAATATTTCTTGGAGCAACCTATGAGTATGCCGGCAAAACTGGTACTACTCTAGTGACCATATGGCTTCTGGACTTGTCAAGCATAGGATAAGGTGCCGCATAATTACCGAGCAAAGACTGGAACAAATCTTAATCCACCTGTTCATGTCCAGCGACCATGAATACTTCGATGACCTTCAAGGTCTGTGAGATAAGCGTCCACACGCTACTGAAGTCCAAACAGCCGTAGATGCATTGGGAAGAGTGAATAATTTCCGAATGGTTTGGCCAATTGCAGCATTAAAGCACAACGTCAATAAACTCTTCTTACTCGCGTGGACAGCCATTCTTCAGGCACTTCTGCAATGCCGGGTCCGCCTATGGTCTCAAAAAAGTCACAGTTTTGTTTAGAAAACCTTTTCGAAAACTGTTCAAGTAGAGGGACTTCAGATGTCCTTAAGTTCGAACTCCGCCCTACATATGACTGGAAATAAATAGCTTCGGCCCGTGAGTTTCCGCCATTCTCCTCAAAAGGTCTAACCAGCAAATTTAGCACCGCACCACAGTTTATTTTAGTATTCTTGGAGGATTTCGGTGTTCAGGACTTCATCGTTCTGTTCACTCGTGTGAAAGGTTTTGACTAGACATTGCACGTGGAGTTGGCCATCTACGCCAGAGTATTAGTCGCGCTAGGCACGTTCCTCAAGGTCACAGAGTGCTGACAAGGTGGCAGGTCACCCCTCAACCAGACGACTGAATGTTTTTTTAATCTGAACCCCGGTTCAGACTACATACGAGTATGTTATACGGATGAGCAAGCGGGTGCCCCGAAAAACACTCGTAATCATACCGAAGCTCAGAGAAATTGACGATTCAATGATGGACAAGCGTTTGTTGCCAGTAGTTCCTACTATGCCAAGATATTTAGGACGATCGAAGGTTATCAACGGTCCTCCGATTGTTTTCCACCCATCTTGTTGCGCTGGATCTACACCGAGGGTCCGCACACAGCTCTGGTGAGGCCAACTTAAGCTTACCAGGTATGCCCAGGTGGCTAGCGAACCAACCGCTGTTTATTAGCAAATTTGCTTCAGATACTGGTCATCCGTATTCAGATACCAAATTAAGTGACCAGTGTTTATCGCAGGCAAGAGTGCTGTAAGCTTAATCCTAATTCATTATCACTTCTTTCTACACTAGACTTATCCTTCGAACCGCCGAGGACTCTCTCATTCAGTTTTCGAGCTAAGTTAATGGTGCAGATGAAAACAACTTTCGAAATAACCTCTCGAACATAGACCCAGAGGAAACCAAGCACCCGATTCCGTCACACTTTTCTCTCTCGGGAAATCGGGTCATCAACACGATCTCCCTCTGACACCGCATTTACCCCGCCACAAACAACCAACCAGGTCATTGTTGCAGGAAGCCTCCTATCCGGTAATATGCACTACGCAAAGAGGGCACTACGACCTCACTTTAGTTCTACTTGGAATAAACCAATTTATGGTCAGTCACTGACAGGTGTCATGAGAAAACAAACCTTAAGTATAATGATAGTGGTGGAAAAAACACAAAAGTAGTGAGATGCAAAACACTGAATCCCATTGAGCCATCAAACCTCACGTGACAGGCTTTGCCATATTTATTTGTAAGGTTAATTGATTGCTGATCCCTACGTTACTGAAGCTACCAAATCATTCTCGCTAGGTTCACCTACCCACTCATGTACACTCGGAGTTCCCACAGGTTTTGACTTGACCTGAGATCTGAAATGCAAGCTTGCAACTCCAAGTTCCTTACAAGTTGGAGGCCATTAAGTGCCGCACCGACCGATTCCGATGGTTTTAATGAAACACAAACGTACACTTATTGTTGTTGATAATAACGTGGCACTGAATGTGGTTATGTAAAACTATTTATCTGAAGACATCAGGTTACTGCACTCAAATGTCACATCGTTTACCTACGTCACCAGCAGGCACCTAAGTCGGTCCGAGTCAGCTAACACGTCCTAACAAAGCTGATCAAACAAGTGTGGATGGACTGACTTAGTTCAACTTCAATGCTAAGAAAGAGAGTTGAATGGACACGGATCTAAACGGAATACTACTAACAAACACCATTCGCACACCATGATTTGCAACGAAAACGTAGACGATCGCACCACCTGTTTCAGTTCAATTTCTCATTTCCACCAAAGCATCAGTAACAACATCAGACCTCTCCAACTAATTCGATATCTAACTCAACAAGTTTCTTCAACCTCCCCCCCACCAGAAAAAGAGCAGTATTTCAATAGTAAAAGGGGCAACACAAACTGATCATAACGGGTTATTTTATTCAATTCGAAAACACTGCAGTTCAGTAGAGGCTAAGCAGAGAGCTCTTCATTGTCACAAACTACAATATCCGCTGAAATGACTGAGATGAATGAACTCATGTTCGGGCAAGCTTCATAGAGGAAAAAATAAACAGAAAAACAGTGTTGTTCCAGACAAATGGCAGATACACAAAAAGTACAGGTTTAAGTCGTGCAACAGTGAGGGTAGTATGGTAGAGAACATGTTCAACCAAATACAATTTGAAAGTTCCCATCTAAAGCACGCCTTCCCAAGAGTTTTGCCCATTCTCTGAAGATCTGGAGACCCTCTGGTGTGATGTGCCGCCTCAAGAAATCAAGCGTAACAGGTACGCCGAACCGCTTATCATCCTCGGGCTCAGGGGGCAACCGTTCACGCCGTCGCCTCCGATCGTTAGACGATATACGGCACACAATCTTCCTATCTAGATCAACTGGATCCAGGGGTTCTGAAATGGCGTGGACATCTGTGGCGCTTTCGTCGGAAAACCTGGCATATTTGCCGCCAGGTGCGCTGTCCAAGCGTTGCAAGCAAGATTTCACGGGGACCCAAATATAGGTCTCAGGACAGGCCAGATAGGAGGGGTGGAACTGCGCTTTGTAGGACATTTTAGGACAGGATCGAATGTAATAGCCCATATAATAGGAATCAAAGTGAACGTACAGGGGGTGTGGGGTTACAGAGGTAAGGCCATGAGTGCGGATGAGATCACGAACGAAGCCCAGTTCTCTGTAGGGTAGAGATGTTTAGGGGAAAGAGGATTGGATGTAAGTTAAAAATTACAGCCGCATCTGTACTTGTAAAAACAGTCGTCTGCGATAGAGTGAAATCCAGTAGACAACAGACACATAAATCACATATACGGAAGAAAGTCTTCAACTTGGTATTCAAGTAGGCCGAGTAATAGATCATATGCGGACTGGATTCTGACCCAAGGAACACTATAAAAATGAGCGATAATTGTCCGCATGTTCAGGAGGTAATTCCTACAAGCGGAAGCTGCTAGCAGTGGAGCAGTGTCCACTATGTTTGCACGGAGAAGCGCTAAATTCAGTTTTTTGTTGAAGCAAAAACAAAGAGTGCTGCTCCAGCAATTCGCAGTTTCGCCCGTTTACCTAAGTTAGCTTAAAGAGTGAAGTGAAATATGTCAAAATGTCGGTAAAAGGGACTGTCATTTTGTGACTGAATATACTCCCACAACAAGGTGATAAACTGATTGTTCTCACACATGGAGGCCCACCAACCTTCCGAGTGACGAGAGATGAGCATCTCAGCAAAACAGAAGGCAACAGGAGCCAGCTACTGGAAACTAAGACGCATAGCTCACAAGAGAAACGAGATCAACCAATAGTAAAAATGGTTCAGCTGTAGCACTCTTTATGTACCCAGCTATCATGCCACCCGAAGGAAGTACGAGGGCCCAGATAGTATCAGGTTGCCCAAGCTTACACATGATTAAGAACGGATGCAGTGAAGGCTCCTTAGCCCAAAGAGCCCAATGTCATATCTAGAACTCGAAGGGAAGATCCAACAGGGTTTGGCGAAATTCGTCAACAGAGTATACCGGCGGTGAGGTTAGCTCCGCTTGGGAGGGGTTGGAGAAAGTCAGATATTGGTCCGAATTTGTGACAGCGAGGCAACTGTCTAAACTTGTTATCCAAGACATGAGGAGAAAAACTGAGTCAATTAATCAAGAAACTGCAAATGACGTGATACAGTGATGCATTTAACCGAGTTCACTGGATATAAAAATTATCTGAACTCTAGATGAGGATGTAAAGGCTGTCATGATCTTCCAGACACCGTCACAAGTTTGAATTAGGAGGAGGCTAATACGGAAGGCAAACCAAGTTGGGAATAACGAGACCTTGCGGTGAAAGGCCGAGGTCTATTCGTTTCTACTGAGTCATGAGACCTTGACATTTGCTAAAGTAACTGAGAACAACTGAACAACTGTTTTTCACGATCTTCGGGGTAGAAACAACCTGAAACTGTTGATCATTCTTCCCACGTCAACCAGACCAGTCCCAACAAGTAAGGCCCCGTATGGCTGAGATTTGAGGGGCCTGGTCTTTAATCCAGTGCATATAGTTGATGAATACAAACGCTCCTCAAATCACTGAATGACCTGTTAGTGATTACTGCATCGTTTGATCCAGACTTCAGAATGGACGCGACCGACTCCCATTGATTCCCACATGCACTAAGAAAACTGCTACCAAAACGCACAGTGGAACAAACCTGGGAAGGAGCTGAAGTGAGCGAGGACAGCTTCGACTTTACACGGAACAGGTCCGTTCAATATCACAACTAACAGTAAACGGAAAAAGCAGTGGAGAAATAAGCTACCGGCCGGGCAAACAAACTGGCAAGTGTGTCAAGATCAAACTCTGCTGCATAACAAACGAAACACGCTAGTCCGCCGGCTACACTCAGCCTGGTATTTTGGATCAAGATGGCCAATCCGGTTCCTTTATCTTATCATCTGACCGTTCGTTGGGATACTAACAGCTCTTCTGTGTGAAGTGGTGAAGTGAGATAAATAGAATTATAGCAACTTTTTGACGTTTTGGTCGATGGATGTCTCGGGCACGTTTTGGTTCTACAAACATGCCAATTATGAAACCCTGGAGTGAGCTCATCGGAAACAAACAGAGCAACTGTTACAAATTGTAACCGGCTGCTTTTGCAAAATTTTGGTCACTTGGCCATGCAGAATTCCACTCTTTGGCACTTAGAGTGCCAACACACACACGTTTTGACTGCACATTTCCATCGATATTGTGTCCTTCCAGTCGAGGCATCCATCATCTCCTGAATGCTAGAAATTCCCTCATCGGCCGGTTCACTACTGTTTTGTCCCACTGAACTTTTATCCTATCAACCGAAAAGGTACAACCCGCATCGCCGTTTCAACTTACTATTCCATTCGCTTATAAACTGTGCCACAGTTCTTCAAAAGAGGTGTTCAATACACATGCATATCACTCAGTACGTACCCGAAAAGAAAAAAATCATTCATTATAAATGCGTGTTTGCTGTCGAAAATCAACCAGGTTATTGCTTGTTTTAAAGTTCAAAACGCCTAAATATGTGATGACTAATGAAGGTGGTTTGTGGAAGCATTCTGACTTTACCCAACATCCCTACACAAAAGACTATTCGGAAAGGAACCTAAGATCGATAAAGTACGAAGTGGGTTGGCTATACTATCTATGGGCAGCAGATGTGACCACACCTAAGAGAGAAATAGCCCTCATTAGTTATCGTTCGAATGAAAAAACTGCGACTGAAGCCATTGGACAATAAATCGCAAGGTGACCTACAAGACTATCACGTGTCTACACAAAATTGGGCTTGCCCAAAGTGACCTGAGTGTCTCAACATATTTAACAATGACGCATAGCTTTCCATACAACGATTTAATCCTTTTCGTCTCCCATTTGCTGGCTACGCTAAACCGAATTGAATAGGTAGGAATGCACTTACGGAACGCAACGGGGTGGCATTCGACCTTATCAGTGGAACTTTAGTTTCTCCTTCAACAGACGCGTTTATTGTCTCTCAAAAATGTTTTCGGCATCTCAATCGAGAGGAAATAATTCGAAAGAAACGAAACATCCACAAATCCAGTTCCGTACGATGACACAAAAAACAGACACGTTAAGTCGCGAACGGTGAAGATCTTCGATATCCATAAATTTCTAGTAACTGCATGATTATCCATTTGATTTCGCTGCGACACTACTTGTCTATTTCACGCAAATAGACTTCGAACTTACCGTAAGGCGGAATAAGTGCCCAGATGTAGGAAGGAGTAGTCTGGATCGTAGTAGAGGTAAACGGATGACAAACAACGGGGTAGAATATCGATAACCCCGACTGCAATCAGTCTGACCCCATCCAACCAGTATTGTTGATGATACGAACCCATGGATGGCACACTGCTTGTATTGGGCGAATCACCTGCATCGTCACTCTGAAGAGCAATGAGGATAAATTCATCATAATTAAAAAAAAGAGAAACAGCAAGTGATTAGCGGCGAGACATAACAAGACAACGAGCATAAGGTGAAGGAATGAGGCTCAAACAAGCTCAAAGCCTTCATGTACTTCCTAGTAAACTGGACGACAGGAAATCGACTTTTTCTAGGCTGGCTTGCAATCCAATGAACTGATTCAGGGCAGTTATTTTAACAATTTCACTTCAAGTGGAACGGTAAAAAAATATAAGCCATGTTTTCAAACGCTAGTAGACACACAAAAGTATACCTAACGACAGGCTGAACTGCATATGGTCCATCTGCCCTCCCCCTAATATTCTGATGGTTCACATCTGTTCATTTTCATATTCATCGAAAAACATTAGAAACACGTGCTTTCGTTTGTCCACTACGAAGCGTGCCTCGTGTGAAACAAGGAACCACGCACCAAAAGACTATTTTTACGATCTGATGGGTGTTCCATCGACATATTGACTGTTTACTTATACAGCGAAACGTTTCGTGCGAGAACGCCGCTTTGAGAGCCCAAAACTATCCGAAGGTGAGGACGTCTCAGAACTCTGATGAAGCCTAATAAAATGAATAGCCACGACGACTTACAGTCCTCTCCACTTTCAGAGACAACTTTCATGGAAAAGCCATTTTAGTTCAGCTCTTTACGGTATGCTTTCAGGGAGATACCTCTTTCGTCCTACCGTGTACGCCGAAAAACATGTGCCCATATGAAACATGCGCACGGATTACAAAGACGGGGGTTAGCAGCCACTTTGAGGAAACCCAAATGGGACTCCAAACCTAGCCGTCAAAATAGCAACATTCGATCTATTCCATTCGACTTACCAGGGATATGCCACTATCTAGCCCTTCACAGGGTGCTTGAAAGTCCTAAAGGATTGTGGAAAATTTGCCCAGGAGGGTATGTTGGCTTCATAAATTGTGAAGGTGCATGTGGAATAAAAATGTCAGTGAACCTGTACTTTTCTGCTGAATATCCCAGGTGGAATTAGTATCAGGGATTTCCCAGACGCATCAAATCGGTCAGAATGCTCGGCCGCATCGTTGACCCTATTCCTACATATTGTGTCAACTAAAAGATTGAATTACGCGGCCGAACAGCATAGCCATATTTTGCTCCAATTAGCGTGATTTGAATGAGAAAATCCTATATTATGTTCTTAACCAAATGTGAAATTCGTAAATGAAGCCTTTGCCTTCATCATCATGTGTGATTCCTGGTGAAATTGGAACCACTGATCCAGAGGTACGGGGCCACATATTCCCTAAACCTATTGATCCTAATCACAATTCCTCGCAGCCCAAAGTTTAAGTCCGAAAAAACGAACGGTTTTCTCTTACTTGTCTGACATGAAGAACATGGCATTGTCCGTCGAGGCCTACTGATCGGAATTGTTTGCACTGATGCGGTTGTCACGTTATTGTTTAGCCGTTCGTAACAGAGGCCTTTAATGTGAGGACTCTACCCGAAGATCTCACAGTATCAGTAGATTACTACACTAACAGACAGTTCCACCGTGGGAAATGAACACTATGAGGTCGGCATGGCCAAGATGGGTGGTCCCATCCAGACTGAACAGTGAGTGTATGTTGAGTTCACCGTGCACATGAGTTCTACGTAATCAAAGAATTTTCATCATCATAGTCACGTTGGTCTTTGCGTGGTCACGGTGCCAGATAACCCCCGAGAAGCAAAAGGATTTCGCCTATGCTAAGAAACTAATATCTAGCTAGAATCGTACATGGCGGCAGTTGATAGCGTACTTTATAAACGTGTCCGCATTTAGGTTCCACGGTGAGAGAGATGACCTATCACAGAAAGGGTAATTTTTTATCAATCACTAGTCAATCTGGCAACAAAAATATGCTTTTGTCGCGATAGCTTCTTGCAAATTTTCCCTATGAGAAGTCGCACCAGTCCGAGTAACAAACCACGCATTTTTGCATTACTCAGTTGTTTGCAAAGTTTTAAAGCGAAAATGGAATGGAAGAAGATCAGCTGTAAGAAGGTAGTCAATAAATTTCACTCGGTACCAGCCACCATAGACATTGGAAGGAGCCAAAGTGTTCGTCAGAGCATCATCACAGTGCCATCATCATTGCCATTCGTTTTGCTGCATACTTGCTGTGATTAGGCTAGGAGTAATATCCTGTTTGGCAAAGAGGCGGGAACCTCGGAGGCCTGAAGGCAAAACAATAACCCTGAAATAGACATGTTTTGGAACGGGACGAACTACACACGAAAGCAAGCGGTGTCAGTGAGACAAGTTTTCCGCGACCCTAGCATCATTTCGGCCTTGTGTGCCGCTATGCAAACAAAAATAGTCCGAATAAAGTGATAGCATATTCACCTCTAAGTTCGACGAAAAACCCGCTGATCTCTCATTTACAACCACAATGAAGCCAAAAGCCAACATGTGTTTCATTCAAATACAATGTAGCACACACAGTAACTACTCCAAAATACATCGCCATGGGATAATGAGTCTCTATTCAGAAGGATAGCACAGTAAGTCGACGTTGACGGTGAATGCCATTGTGCACTCTCCAGTAGTGTCCTCTGTTTAGATGGACTCACCTTGGGAGTGTATTGCACGTCTAAGGAAGAGCCAAAGGTCTAGGGCTAAGCCAATTATATGGTTGTAAAATATTAAGAAGAACTCACTACTAGTGGAGATTTGACAAGAAACCGAGTGAAGCACCCCATGGTGCATTCGTCAGGTTTATCGCCGTGAACGGTCACTTGATACTTTTTATAAAGCTGGTAAGATGTGTCCAGTGTAGAGTTGAACTCATTACTTGATGGTGAGCTTCGAACCAAACGTATCTGCCGGATTCAAAAAAACGAACAAAACTATACTGAATGCAATAGTGGATACATAAATAGCGCAAGTTAGTAACAAAAACATTCGTTTACCTCGATATGGTGCTTTCCTTGTCCTTTATTTGGTTCTTGAGCGAGAAAGTACTCTAGCTCCTTTGGAGCGTTTTTGGCCAGACGCCGCCTACGCCGTTCTTCATATTCCTAAAGTCAGACAGATATAAAAAGGAGCTCATAGCCACTCGGAACATGGAAAAAGTGGGAACGCTATCTGTAACCGTGCAGAATAAGCTGATATAACAAATGTGTTCCGGCCAAATAGTTTCAGGCCACCAACCCAGTTCTCATTCGAAAGAGAATGAACGCAATTCAATGTGACTTGTCAGAATCCATGAACGTAGTCAGTGATGTTCATGAATGAACTATGGGATTTCCAGATCATCAGCCCTACAGGCGAAGAACCACATGCATGTATCATCGCATCCCATTCACACTAATCTGTACAAAAATCCATTCAGGCGAATTTGGTCTGTGCTGGAAAAGTCTCCGCTCTTCAGGAGCACTCTACTGGATAGTCACAGTCTCGGGGTATCAACGCGAGTGTAACATGGATGGCTTCCAATGACCTGTCTTCATTACTGCGTAGCTTTACGGACCATTTCCTTAAGTGATGGCTATTGCAACGTTTTCTTTTTTGAGCCTATCATTCTTAATCTTTAAGTAATGGGGAAAAGTGTTTCCGATTTTGAAGTATGTTTACCATATGGAAGGTTTCAAGCTTGCATCCCAAAAAGAACCGGCTAGTGATTTCAAATACGGATAAAATAGCTGTAAGATGTCCTTCTGAATACAGATGGGGACCCCAGAACATTAGCTTGTACAGTGTGGTAGGTACGTTGCTGATGTCCTTCAGGACTCAATGATAGCAGACCATGTGCATCACACGACTATGAAGATAGCTGCAATGTTTGTGCAGTTTTTATCATCATCATTATTGACAGCAACCCTAGACAAGGACACCGGTACTTCACAGCCGTAAAATCACATAAACAGATTAGAACAGTCTTATAATGGAGAGAGGAAGAAATAGGAGAGTCTATCCCTACCACAAACATCCTAGGTGTGTTTCCAGCCAAACATAGGGAGGGTTACAAGAAACTCCATAGTGGGAGACGAACAGCACCAAAGGCAGCCAAAGTTTCCTACATTCGCTTGCGCCATGTCATATTCCATCCACCTCCAGGTTTCTGCCACTCACAATTAGGTACGGAAAACAACATTCCTTTCGACAGACCCAGCCACGTTAGCTTACAGTACTGGATGCATTTCTTGAGTGAGATGCCGTTTGTCCAGCTTTTCTGATAACCTTACTGCGAATTCGCCAGTTACGATCAATTCCAGTAACACAACAGTGGTCAAAGACCTGAAGATGTCTCAAACCTCCGCCGAACGTCGACAAGTCTCACAGCCGTACAACAATATCGACCGTACTGTAGCCGACCAATACAATTTAACAAATATAGACTGTGTACAATTAGAACATTGGTTCCAGCTGCTACAGTTTCGATCACCCGAAAGTAGTGAGGTGGCTCGGTGGTTGGAGCGTGAATTTACTGACCGGAAGGTCCATGGTTCGAACCCGACCTCTGCATCTCAACTTGGAAAACGCAGTTCTGGCCTCTGGGAACTGTACGTTGAATTCACCTGTCACATTACCGTCAGGGTTAGTGCAACATTACTTGGGATATGAGTGCTGGTTTGGACGAAAAACACACATCAACATGTAATTTCAGCGTACACGCTGGAGCAGTCTGTTTTTCGGAGGGCGTTAAAGGCTGCCAGATGAACTGAGCGTTGGGGGTTGAAGATTGATCTCGAAGTGTCTAAGGCCGTGTCCACCGAACAAACAGCAGATATCGCAGCTAACAGAAATGGGCGGCGAACGAAGTTGTCAGTCCTTAGGAATGGGCCTGCGGAGGTGGCGCTGGCAACGGAGTAAGGACGGGGAGAACGAATATTTAAGAAAGCTACAAGGAAGGCGTGAGCAGTAGTCTGTTTTCGTTAGTCCATTCTGCTTCGTGCAGCGACTGATTACAGCGCACAACGGTCTGTAAATGTGCAATTCGTGGATATCCTTGGGCGCTTTGGCCAAGACAGAAGGGCGTCATAGCAACCTAAATTTCTGAGGAGCAAGTCACCATAGATGTTCCAATCCCCAATCTGGAGGACCAGGAGACTGTCTTAGTCAGAGTTGTACCCATTGAGCAACCACGTAAGAGAGAGACCCTGTTTCGTATTTATTGCCTAATATCAGACTGCCCACAACCTTCACGAGTGCCCTTGCAAAAGATACTGCGAGAGACAATAAAGGCAGTATCGTTACCTGTTTGCCAGACAGTTGCAATTCAATACCGCACTTTCCTACGTCAGGAACGCGGTTCTTACAGCTGGCAATGACGATGAAGTCAGGAACGGAAACTTCCAATAGAACAGGGCGGATGAAGCATTGGTCAAACATCCTTGTTGGACACTGATGTCAAGCTGTTGATGATGATGACGATGGATGAGATTTTCGCCGTGAAGAGAACGGAACTCACTGTACTGCGACACTTGATCACAGTTGCTGTGCTCAAAATCGAGAAGGCGGATAACTGGTTTGCAGATAAGGATAAAGTTGTCACGCGCAATTCAGGTGCCTCTAGAAGAGGTTGTAGGACAAATACCTTGCTCCAGGTAGTCACTACTGAGGTACCTATCGTGGCAATACCATTTTGGCAGAAACCACCAGTCAGAGTTGGATGGCCAAGCTTCTCCGATGATCAACACCCCATTTCTCTGGCAAGTAGACAGCGTACACTAGACATGTCTGTATGGCCAACTGAACGGATACATAATGTACGCGCCGTTTGCGTTCACATTATTGGTATCCGGTCACAGCAAAGTGCCAACTAATAATAGTTAATAATCGTTCACTTGCAACATCATTTCGGTGCCGAGCCATCATGCCACCCGATGGAGGGTTGTCAGGGCGCGCCCAGACAGAAGAAAAAGCACATGTGCAGAGAGTGACGCATCCCCAAGGTCACCATCGATTCGACACGTCCGGAAAGTAGGTGAGTTGGCGGCTCCCACGAAACACGGCTCTCACTAAACGGCTTAGCAACACACGACCAGTGTAGTGGGCCTGAGAATGTTCACGACCGGAACACCACCACTGGCTGTACGGAGCGAACAGGTGAACGAGCATATTTGGCCAATTAGTCATCCTATATATATATATTTACGCAGACGCTCTGTATGTTTTGTCCTGGCAATACAGCCGTGTCCCCAGTTCTCTGTCTTCTCCCTATCGCGTAGTCTGGCAGGCGCAGTGCAGGCGTAACCAATAGCTCGGCCACCACCGCACAATACAACAAGGGTTTACACACTGCCAGGTTGCTCAGACCTACACAATAACAGTCGAGATGCCAGGGTTGGGTTCCAACCAACCTTTCGGTTCGTGCGCTAACCACTGAGCCATCTCAAAGTACCAGCTGCTTCCTTATTGCTCATCACATCGACATAGACTGACAGAATGGACCAAATGAAAGGCATTTGTAAGCCACAGCTGGCTGTGGCCATAGTTTATTCTTTGCACCACATATGTTCAATTTGTCCCCGAACGGTGTTGTGCTCAAGAGACTGAACGAGCGTCGGGTGAAAGAAAGCCAGTTGCAATTAAACGGCACTTGGATGCCCCAGTTACTTGTCACAACAGGACACCATTGAAGAACTGCAAAAACTAAACCACCTGAAGTTTTGGACAGTTTCGAAACTCATGGCTTACAATTCTAGCAAACATTTTCAGCCAAAAACAGGTTTCTGTTCTTAATTTGGCTACCAGCCCTGTTTTATTTTGCTTACCTCGTGACAGTCAACCTATAGAAAATTATCCAAATATAAAAAACAGCCACAGGAGTGAAATTATGAACAAATCCATCAGAGGTATTTTTCTAGGTCAGGGTTAAAAAATACTGCTGAGCCAAGTTTAGCTTTTCACCTCACAGGCCAGGCACCGAAATGCAGTGGGTTCAGCTTCTACGGCTTCGTTCACTGAGAATAAAGCAAATGGGGAATTGAGAACCACGCGTTGGAGGCGATGGCCCAAACCGTGTACTGACAACAAACAGATCCGTTTGTTCTGTATGGCAGGAAGTGAGAGGTACGTAGTGAATCGACAGCTTTGATGTAAGATTGTAATTGGCTGCGCGGCACAGCCATATCAGTCAGGGTCGTTAACTATTGGTCTGTCTTGTCCCACGGTCCCCATCCGGGAACACGGTAGTAACTAGCGCGAGAGAGCAGACTGTTAGGGACCTTTCTGTTTTGTTATCATATCTCGGCCGTCTCCACACGATACAAGTTTGGGCGAAGGATCTCACCGGGCAGATGGTTCTATGGCATATGAAGTACGTGGCCTGAGCAGCGTACCTGTGGAGTGTGATCATCTGATCTACGAAAGAGAAAGAACTTTCTTTAATTCACCTAGCGTACTCCGGTATCACTAATCTTATGTTCCCATCAGACCCCCGTAACTTTATAGAGGCAGCAGTGGCCAAACAGTCTCCCAAGACCCTCCACACACAGCGGCCGCGTCTCTGATCCATGAAATAGTGCAGATCTGACTGTGGGATTTTACATTCTACCTTTGGTAGTCAACCTGGTGGCACGTGCGCTCTGCAAATATCAGATGCTGGCGAGCGCTGCAGTGGTCTTCCGAATTCGGGAAGTGATTTCGTCTTAGGAACTTATGCAGGTGGACGAGCTTATCCACCACATCGATCGATTCATCTGAAAGCATGAGGTCGGAGTTCGATACTACCCAGTCTTGCGGGGGCACTTTACAGGTGTGAAGGTCATACCGAATTGTGAAGCAGAATTATTGAGGTTACTTGAAACAGTCCGATCAAAAACAGCAATATCGTCTGCGTTCTGATTATCCGTGAGGGAAAGCCCTAGTAGTAGTTCGATACCCGAGGTTTTAGAGGCAGTTAAAGAAGATTCAAGGAGCATATCGATAACGAAGTTAAAGGAAGAGGGCGAAGGAGGGCACCCTTGCCTAACACCACTGCATGTGGTGAACTCAGAGAGGATTTGTCATAGATACGTACGCGCCGACAAGAGAAAGCATATAAAATCTTTATAAGAGACAAGAAGCTAGAAGAGACGTTCATCGTCAGACGGTTTATGATGACCGACCGACCGAAAATCAGACCTGAGATCTAGAAGGGTGATCACTGTTGGTCGTCAGGAGTGGTATATTTCCAGCACTTATCGCAAAGTGAAGATTTGATCGATGCAACCCAGGACACGGCGAAGTCAACCTTGATTCTCCCAAATCTTACTGACCAACCTTCGTAAGAGAACACTCTGGAAGCTATTGCCGCTAGACTGATGATCGGTGGTTTCAGGACGATGTCCTTGCATTACTTTCCCACAGGGCGCCCATTCCTTGGGTATTCCTTCCTCATTACAGAGAATTTGGAGTGCAGGATGCAAACAATCAGGGCCGGGTAATTGGTTGCGGTGAAACAATGAGATTTTACACTGGACTACGGTCTTCGACGGCGAAATGATTTCGACATACCATTCGGGTTCATTTGTTCCTTCTGGAGGATGGTTTGATGAGGATCAGCCCACCATTCAAAGCGACATTTGTGTAAATGAACTGAGGCCTTATCTTCTTCAGGCATAGGTTCGCCACAAGCCACCATCCTTGGTCCAACTGATCCGATTAGTTGGACCTAGATTATTTCCTGTCACACAAGGTTTTCCTATTTCTCGGGCTCTTGCAATCCACCAGCGCTCTGTTAATCGTTAAGCTCTTCATTATTCGGCGTCGGAGCCTGAACTGGCCACCATAGTTTGCTGATGTTATAGTTTGTCGTGTTTCAATCAGAGTTGCTGATCATGGTCCTTTTTACTTTTCTCCAGTAGTCATCCAAATAACCACCAGTCATATTCTGCAAGCTTCTTACCCATATCATCTCGGTATTATGAAGCTGCAGAGATGCTTCCAGGTATTGGACCGGATGCCCCTGCATTAATTGACGTGTTCCAGAGGAGAAGAGAATAGATACACGTGCCTGCACAATGCCATGATCGGTGTTCAGTAGTGTATACCAAAACAAACGTCAATCCCGCATCAAAGCTCTCCAGCCACTGAGTGGAAAGCTAGTTTGCAGTTTGTGCCTCCCAGATCACGTGGTGTGAACGTTTGTGCTACACATGACTGAAGAAATTCCTCTATAGTATTTGGGTGGTGAGCGTCAAACCCGGATCGGCTTCTATGAGCTTTCTAAGGATGTAGTCGGCTAACCTGGCCACTTATATCACGCACAAGAATCACGATATCTGTATCTGTGAGTAACTGTGACAAATATCGATAGAAGCTATATTTTTAGCGTCAGAGATGCTATCTGTCAGAGGGTATGTTGACACCGTATAATACGTCGACATACATTGGTCCCACTTAAGCTGGTCAACCAAACAGCGCAATAATAGTTCGTGACACTTTTTCGGTGCGTGCCACCTGAAGGAAGCACGAGGGCTAAGATACTGCCATATTGCCCAAGCTTAGACAGGAGCAGTCAAGACACCGAGAATGGGGTTAGCGCACCTTAGCACGAGGGCTAAGATACTGCCATATTGCCCAAGCTTAGACAGGAGCAGTCAAGACACCGAGAATGGGGTTGAGCGCACCTTCCGGTCACTAAGTTCGTGCCTTAATCTCTGAGCCATTTTGAGTTCAGGGGCGCGCAAAGGTGACTGTTAAGTTGAATCAAGCCCCATAAAGCATACTTGGCTCTGGAGCTAAGCACAACTCACAAGACGTAGAAAAACCACCAACCATTACATTGGAATGATCGGACGCTTGAAGTGCAAAGTGTGAGAAAACAAGGTCAATCCTGAGTGGCCTGAGATGCATGACCGAGATGGGGTCTGGTATGCACATTTTATAGACACAACATACATCAATAGAAAGAGAGGTCTGAGTGACAGCCGCCTGTTGCCGAAATGGACACAGATGATCATAGAAGCCACAATGTGGAACAATCCCTTGAATTTAAAAAGGGCTTATATTGATTTATTTTACTGAGCACAAGGTTAGATTCGAGGCAATGGTTAGGCAACGGACGGCCAAATGAGTAAGAAGGACGTGAATGAGGGACGTACTAGGATGAGTCAGTGAATGAAGAGCTGTAGAGGTGAATGCTACTCCCCGGTTGTCCAGGTCAAAGAAGGTCTGGTTAGGATATTCTCAACCATGAGCCTTTGACTCAATGATCTGATGCACAAGGCAGCCTGTGAGTGAAGCGTTTGACCCACTTGGCTGCAGCGAGCTATCCTTGCCTGAGGACGCAGGAAGTGAGGCAGACCTATGACTCCTAATCTAGCAGCGCACGGAATGTGTCCTTTGGGCAGCACCACACCCTGATTTCAAAGGTGTCACCTCCGTAGTGATTGATGGGCCGGTGGTCACGGTTAACCATCGGGTGAAATGTGCGGTTTTTAAGGCCAAACTTTCCAACTTGTGGAGGTTAAAATTAAGGAAGTTACATCGGAAGCAACCTTTCATACCGTGGGTGGTCGTCTGTTGGTTACGCCAGCACTGAGCCCGCCAAACCACACGATAAGGAGAAGGCAGAGAACCTTGGACATTGCTGTATTGTCAGGACAAAACATACAGAGCTTCTGCGTAAATGGCCAATTATGGTCGTTTCGTACAGCCAATGGCGGTGCTCCGGTTGTGAACAATTTCAGCCCTAATCTGCTGGTCTTATGTTGCCAAGCCGTGTTCGGTTAGCTCCGCTAACGCACTTGCAATCCGTAACGTGTGGCACCGATGATGACCTTGGGGATGCGTCATTCTCTGCACATGTGCTTTTTCATGTCTGAGCGCGTCCTGACAGATACTGATTTCTGGAGGAAACGCCTCACTGCCTTCGCACTTTTATCGCAGAGAGTAGTACGACCTAAGTTCCAGATCGCCATTATACGATTATCGGCAGCATAGGGACACGCTGTTTTCCGTCGGGATGCTTCCATTTGGTATTTGTGGCGTGGTTGCGTTTTTAGAAAGTGATTTCCTGCATGTATGACCCGCAGGGTCATTGCAGCGTAGAACCCCGACGACTACGACAAAGTGGCAATATTAGGTCGGGAAACAAACTACATGAATCCGACCAGTTCTGCACCCCAAGTCCCGTATGTGTTGGGAATTAAACTTTATCCCTAGTTTGACATACCATATGGTACCGATTCAATATGGAAACTCGAGGTATGGGAACAGTTCAGGCTTTTGGCCGGCTGATATACGGGATTTTTTAAAGACGCACCTACATAATACAGTGATCGTCCAGCTGTAACATTCTTTCGGTGCCTAGCTGCCATGCTACCCTAAGGAAGCACAAGGGCTGGGATAATGCCAGATTGCCCAGGAATAGTCGAGAGGCAGAGGTCGGGTTCGAAGCACAGACCTTCCGGTCAGTAAATTCTGGCTCTAAGCACTGAGCCATCTCGCCATTATAATACAGTGAGTTGGTACGGCAAATGGGACTAGGCTCTTTCAGTGTACAAAAGGGTGACATCGCACCTTCAATAAAAGTTCGAAGGGCCGATTCTCATTTAAAGCTCTTGCTTTCATTCTCGCCAACCGAGCGTTCCAACGGCGGGTGTGTGCTTTGGTCAGCTTCGGCACGGTGGACGATCGTTTGGAAGTATCTTGCACATCTCCAGCAGGGATAACGAAGGTAGAAAAGGTATCTACTTCCGGTGATGTGGTTTGACTGCAATCAAAACGTGCGCTAGTCGCAGATGTCCGAGAATCCGCTTCCTGTGAACCTGTAAGACGTGTAAAAATAACGAATGGTTTGAGGTAAACCTGTCAGCAACCCACAATATAAACAGGCAATGTGAAGCGAGGAACTCAACGGCACATCATTCACAAACTTGGCTGATTTCTAGGCTTGTGAAAAGTAATCAAAACCGTAGACTACACCCACTAGTCTTTGGGGAGAAAGTTGAGAAGACTAAAGATTAGTTTTTAAGCGGGGTCATCAGCATTGAAATTAACAAACTAGTTAGAAAAAGGTCCAACCAATGAACACTGCGAGGTGCGCCGTGTAGTCCTCATCAAGGGAATATTAACCTGACGCTTCACGATAAACTAAGTTGGTTTTGGGGATAGTGTAGTGAGGACGCTGATATGGCCTTTTTCACCGGCAGGTGAACTGTTCCAGGACAAATTCGCTCCAGTATTGTGGTTGGGCTTTGATTCGTATACAGAAAGGCTCGTGAAGGGACAACTGAGGTGACCAAAAAGGTTCCTCACCATTAGGTCTTTTCCGGTTCGGGATGATAGCGGCTTACAACACAAATCTGCTGGCTATGGGGCATTTTGTTTCAAACCTAGTCGGGGCCAACCCGTTTGAAGAAGAGGTTCGAAACCGGCTGAGGCTGGAAAAAGGTGCGCTATCTAAGAAAACTCGTTCGTCACCCACCAAAATACATCCATCTTATCTGGAAAGCGTTGATTTTATGACCTGACAAAACTCGTTGGAATCTCCGAATCATCGGCTTTCGTTGGCTAAGATTCTTACCCGATCAATCGGGGATAAATTCAACATGACTCATGTTTCTGGCAGACAAGCTGATGCACAACAAGGTACCAGTATTCAGGCCATCTGTGGCTCACCTGTATAATGCTGTAAGCCAAAACTGCAGTGATTAACCGGAATACTGACCCTATGAAGGATGAATGGTTATTTTGAGGTGGTCAGATGCAGTCATATTTGGAATTCTACCAGGACACACACTGGTTCATTTCGAGTCGTTTAATAGAACGTGAGATTTTGGTAAGCCAGCCACGTAGCCTAGTTTACAGTTGCCTTCCCCGAAGACAGAACGAAAACGGACTCTTCTAAGACATTAAAAACAAAGCATGATTCGCTATGAAAAGGTGGTCTCTCCCGAGGATACCCCTCCTCCAAAAAAAGTTACATAAGCGAATGTATTACCCTGCTGCACCCGTAAGTATATTCTGGTGGAATTCGTAGATGACGTTATAAAATTCTCATACAGTCCATTCCCAAACAAGGATCAATTTAGCCACCCTGCGATAATACCATAGTATCTAAGTGGACAAGCATCCTCGGCCTGTGCGTAACCTACGTCAGTTAAATTCACAAACGGTGGCATCGACTGGCTAATCCCATCAAGGAAATCATTATCTGATTTGCCGTCTGAAGTGACACAAGATCTAATTAAGAAGTGAATTAGATATTCTCAAGAGAGCTGATGCTGTTAAAGCAACTAAAGCATGCATTAATGTACTGAACTCGCTTGACATAAGCGCAGAATTTCTTCGCTTAGGAACACTTGAATTGAGTTCGCAGTCAATTGGACGACAGCACTCACAGATATTCTGCTTCCCTAAATGTTTTTCATCCAACGGATAAATTAGGTATGTGATCATGGAGGCTTTTGATCTTTGAGTCCGTTGGACAATCGTCTAACTAATGCAACCTACTTCAAAAGAATTCAGTATCGACAGAATCTGTCGTTTACGGTATTTCAGCTGGCACGATATCCAAGAGATGAGAGCACATTCTCTTAACCTAACACTACACATTAGACTGCTGAAAAATCTTCCAAGGCCCACTACTATCTTCAGCCCTCTTGGGGCTCATTAAGCAACGATTCCACCAATCTTATGTTCTGCTTGAACACCAGACGATACACAAGTGGCGAAATTCGCAAATTGTAAAGGACTCAAGACACAGTGTCATCTACGATACAAGGTAATTTGCAACTGAGCGTCTGGCCACTGTATTGGCCATAATGGGTTGTTCAGGTGATAGAAACCTGGAAGCACAATAAGTCCAAAGATGGGCAAAAACGGCAGATACCTGTCGAGATATTTCCAGTGACTTTTTAAGCACTTTGTTGTACTGAGAAAAGTCAGTACAATCCATCTCGTTTATACGAATAGTAATAGAACGTCCAGCGTGGTTAACGCTTTCAAAGATCTAAAGATCTACTGAACAGTCGATACACAATTTACGCTCTATCCAAGTTGAAACAAGCATCACTCTAGTGAAATTTCAAAGTTAATACTTACTGAAAACTTGTTAGGTGAGATCCAAAGTGGAATTTAACAGACGAATGCCGAATAACTGCTTCGCATTTGTTCTTATTCTTTTCGTTAACAAATATTCAAAAAGGATACCCAAGGGATTCTGCTATGAGCAAGCAGTCTCAACCGATTCTCAATTTTTCTGAAAAAACAGCTACGGCTCTTCATAATAAAACGAGCGGCTAAATGGGTTCGCACTCGGTGCTCTCTTCTGTAGATAACTGCTATGCTCTAGAGTCCCACCGCTGTGCAAAACATGGGATAGATCTTCAAGCTAAGGAACCCAACCACTGACAATAATTTAGTGGAAAAGGATCGGGGTGATAACTTGACGGTGCCTGCGTGATGAACCCAATAGTTTGAGCAGAGTAAAGCTATTGACTATACGACTGAACGGTCTATCAGCATCTATAACCACTGATATCCAGGGGTTTTCCATAGCTGTGAATGTGATTATTGATGCTTGAGTATCACCTCGCTGTCTGACTGCATTTCCATCGCCACCACTCTGTCACAACTGAGTTGAAAAAGTCTCCATTTAGCACATGAAGTCCATGGGGTACTGTAAGTGCCGCTAGTAAAACGATCACACATGAGTTTCCAGATAAAATTATCTAGCGAAACTTAATGTGAGTGACCCGATGTTTACGCCTGGTACTGATAATGTTTTGGTCATCTGTGAACGAAAGCCGATAAAACCTTCTATTACATCCTTCTCGCAGATTGCTTAAGCACAGACGGCATGAGTCGAGATGCAAGGGTCGGGTTTGAAGCACGGACCTTCCGATCAGTAAATTCGCGCTTTAGCTACTGAGCCATCTCACCGCTTCAAGGAAAGTTCCACTCATGCCAGCAGAAGCCAAACTGGTCTTTCGACAGCCCAATTAGCTCGATAGTGTATAACGTTGTATTATAGCATAGAATAGAGTCTAATCTCACTTTAAATTTGGCAGTTGTAAAATCAGTAAAAGTCGGCTGGTACATGTGCAAATTTGACCACATGTCAACTACGTGTTCAACAGACAAAAACTAACAGCGAAAGGAGTGCGAATACGTGGTGCTTAACAGTGAGAACTTCCTCGATGCTGGGCAACCTGGCGGCAGCTTAACCCTCATGCTTCCCTCGGGTAGCGTGGCATCTGTGCACCAAAATGCCTACGGGTGAATGTTTTTTTTTCGATGATTGACAGACGAGAATGTTTTCCAGCGATGCTCCAAGCGCTGTCTACGGACAAATGTTTAGCAACTGGACACAGGAATTGTAAAAGGAACTGCGCATGATGACGGCGAACTAAATCAGCTACAATGGGCTGTGGGTGTCAAACAAGAACGTTTGAGGGTATTCAGTTGGCTTTTAAGCACATGAGTCGATAAAGAAACAAACCATAGTGAAGAATCGATGACGAAACCGAACAAGGAATCTGACTTCTTTCGCACTAGATAAATAACAAACATAGGGCTGCACCGTCAATCTATAAGGAAGCACTGGCCTACAAATGGCATACTAGACTACAGTGATTTTATCGATCACACGGAACCCGTAAACTGATATTGGCCCACTAAACGGTAACCCCCTGCGCCTGAACGGCGGGACCATTATGGTTTAAACAAGATCCACACAATTTGGCTAGCCCGGCTGAACGTAGACAATCAACAAGAGCATGGCATTTAGCAATTTGAGGCAAAGCCAACATAGCTCCACTCTTAGCAGGTGAAAAACAGTGTCTTAACGGAACAAATATCCATAGAAATAAATGCACACCGAAAGTAACCAACCTGCATACTCAGTATTCGGAATGTCCCCCCGGGCCCCAAGTGTAGCTGGATTAGTGTGATTCGGCACCTCAGAAAGGGATTCGGCACGCCATTGGTTACCACTCCTTCCAAATAACTTAGGCATAACTCCTGTTGTTAGGAACAAAGCAACTGCTTTAAGAAGACGCTTGTGAGACCGAGACGGTCGAAACTTAGCAGCATCGCAGCGAATGGTATAGCAAGGACAACAGGTCACCTTATTCATAGGTTTATAGCAATATGTGCCAGAGCTGAATGAACAAAAGTGCAACGATTATGAAAACAACCTACCGACGCCAACCCCGATCAATAAGGTACTGGTAGTCTGACACAGTCAATCGCTTTGTACCCATGCCTAAAAATGGGATGAAAATGAAATAACGAGGTAAATCTACCCCAGGTTGCGTGTAAACCGCCATGTGTCCCTTTGCAGTAACCGCACCGTGCGGACTCATGATAACCATATGGTATCACCACACTGAATATACTGTTAGTCTTTTCCATTTGTCAAAACTCGAAAAATCCCACTTTTCTGAGGAAAGAAACGACAGAAAGACACCGTTTAGCACAATTAAATAACCAGTATCCTATTTGCAAGCAAAGGTCGGATGGGGTAATGTAGTATTTAAATAATTATTACCGTACTCTAGTGGTTGATAGACATTAGTCGGTGTCGTTCGGGAGAATACCATCGTCCAGTCCTATGGGGCTAGTGCAGTTCGTCTCTAAAAACCCATGGCTTAAAGTGCCTGATTATGTTTTTGTGTTCAGTGCTGCAGCAGCTCAGTTTTGCACAAATTCTATCAAATGGTACTGCAACATTCTTTACTGATTTACTGTTAGACATGGCTTAGTGATTAAGGAGCCAACTTATTGACCGGACGGTTCGTGTTTCTAAGTCTATCCCGGAATCTCCCGTCACGGCCTGGGCAACATGGCAGTATTTCAGCCACCGTGCTACCTTCGAGTTGAGTGGCAGCTGGGTACCGAAAGGGTGTTACAGCTGACTGATGGATTAGATATATTCCATGTGCACAGAGTCCCATGTGGTTCCCTACTGATTTGGGTTACCCATTTGCAGATTTCTTCTTTTCCTCCTCTTGCCACAGATAACTATCTGTATCAGCCACTGTACTGCATTATGGACGATGTCGATCAGTCCGATCGTGTCAAAGCACGAGGCGCATATATTATCCTGCCGCTGCACTTCCAAGTGACTCCAAGAAATTGATCTCGACTGTGATGCTTCAGAGGACATTCGCACCCGGGAGACCACATTACTCAGCCTAATCACTTATCTATTTACAGTACGGGCTACTGAAATAGTTTTTCATGTGCCTTATGGAAACAGAACGAGCTATTCTAGAAGATTGGCCTATGTCTACACTTGTTGCCCCACTAGAAAAGTCGGTGAAATAGGTAATCAAGTCTTCCATCCTTCCGTTTCAGGAATCTGGTGCCGACTTCAAGTGTCTTCGGTGCCGTCATGATTCGAGTGCGACCACCGTCCTGGTATGTGCGTTGGCTGGGATGCTATAAACGGTGGATTGCTCCGGTACATACTGAAACAATGACAGTTCTGCCAGCGCATGGCGACCAACGGCAAATCTGGCATGACCCTCAGCTGGGACGGCCATGTCTTCTATTTAGTGGGCGCGTACTAGTGTCTTCTGCACGAGATGGGGGACAGCAAAAAGCAGTCCTAACGTTTGGTTCTAGATGCTAAGTGAGTGAAGGTGACTGAAGTCCGGCACACCAACTGCACACGGAAAGTGCTACTATTAACTCTCAGGTCGTGGTCAGTCTGAACCATTTTCTCTTGAAGCCAGGCAGTCACACCCTCCCCTGCACTGGAAATTTGGGGATAATGTAACAGCCTACATCAATCTCACTCATTTTAAGGTAAATCAGGAACAATCGTGTTCGCCCAGAAGACCCATCAGCTGTGACACGCTGCTGAATTGAGTTGATGATGAGATGAACCGTCCTCTAAGGCTGAAATGCAACTAGAGAAGAAAGAAATTGATGCCGTCGCTCTAAGCAGGAAAAGTCGAGCTGGTCGAGTCTAAGAGAAGCCGGCTCTGGATACACATTTTACTTTATCGAATCCCCCCACATGAAGAAAACAGGAGCAGGGTATTGGCTTTGCCCTGTCCGA